TGATGCTTAAAATTGATAAATAAAGAAATGATTAATGTTACAATTCAATTGCTTCACCAGGTTCTTCCAAGACAAACCTGTGGTTTATATACAAAAAATCTGCGTTTAAAAGATTATCCAAAAGGACCAAGACATCTTGAAGATAGTATTTTTGGTGGGGATCTTTTTCAAATCTTTTTAGACAACCCTGTAAGTTTAATTTAGATGTTTTTTACTTTTAATAGCACACACACACTGTCAAGAAAAYTCTAGCTTTGACTGATTTTACTGTGTTTTGGCAGATCAACATCTTCATGACCCATCTCTCAAATTATGGTAATGACAGACTTGCTTTGCACACATTCTCWAAYGTGGTCAACTATCTGCAATGCTGGACAAACCTAAAGCTCAGAACAGAACATCCTATAGTGCTGGCTGACATGTATTTCAAGCTGTATCCTAAAGAACAGGAGCCCTTATGGACAGTAAGTGGAGAAAGATACAATCCTAAACAAGACATATAAACTAGACATTCTTGAGAAAATGTTCACAAGTCTTTTTTAGCTTGATTGGTTTTGTGATCCAGGGGGTGTACAGGGTTTCCAGGGGTTCCTTGGCTGATGAAGTCTTTGAAATGTGAAGCTCATCAATATGATAACACATTTTTGATAGTCCTGCAGTTTTGTTGGTGAGAATCCAAAACAACGCCAGTGAAATTTTGCAGTCAATTACCTTCTTTACATCTTAAACCTTCGAAGACAAAGCTGAAACTCCTAATCTCCCAGCGTGAAACCCCTGCCCCTGTGACCTATAAATTCAAATGTATCAAATACAAAAGATTATTCATTTTATCAAAGAAACAGTTAGAAATTGTTCAAAACGAAGACACATAATTATACTAATTTGAGCAGTCTTTTTTATRATTTCATACTCTTCCAATAATAAAATGTTGTTGTACCACTTTTTTTTAACAGAATCCCTGCTCAGATAAGCGCCATTTGACAATATGGGCAAAAGGGAAGACCTGTAACCGTCTTCCTTCCATGCTRATAATTGGGCCCCAGAAGACTGGTACTACTGCTCTATACTCATACTTGACAATGCATCCCGAGTTTATAAGTAACAAAAGAAGTCACACGACRTTTGAAGAAGTGCAGTTTTTCAATGGCCACAACTACTTGCGTGGGCTAGATTGGTAGGTGTTGCTGTGGTTCCGGGAGCTCAGGGGTAGATGCACAGCAGTAAACATCCCCCATCCCACTCTCCCTCATATAGCTCATCTACCCTCAACAAACTGCACAAAACTGAGGTATCTTGGAWACAGTTTAGTGAAGTTTGGAGGTCTGATTGATTCAGTGCAAAAACACATCAAATGGTTGCTATCTTTCCAACCGTTGTCATTCGTATAGTCATTTGAATTGAATATATRCCATTTAATTAATTTCTTTTTCCATTAAATAATTATATGTTACAGTAAGTAATGAATGAAGTAAAGAAATATGAGGACAGACAAAACTGTACCAACATCTTCAGGGGARTGATAGTGTGTGGAGACCATAATATAGTGTAGTTTATACTCAACAGTAAGTAATTGCTGACGCAGCGAGCAAGCCTGCAGCAAAAGCAAGTCAGCAGTTCTAATTAATGAAAAGAAGACAAAAGATGGGACCCCACACAATTTTCTGCACTAAATCCAAAATTCTATTTTGACAATCCACTTCGGGAATCTTTCCACTACTATTCAATAATAAATGTTGACTTTGAAATACTGTATTTTAGATGAATCTTCTGTTTTGATGATTAACATCCACAAGAGTCTAAAATGACAACARGATAGTTTAAGGGATTTTCAAAGAAGCAGTTCGTTTTTTTAATCTTAGGTATTGATATGTAAGTTTGGTACATTTCTAGACATTCACCTAATGTTCCTCAAGGACACTTTTTAAACTTTATTACTTTTGTTACATGAAGAACTGTTTTGGATTGACTGAGATTGTGTTTTCAAGAAATACTAAAATAAATCATTCCTCAAACATTTCAGATGACTTCACAATAGATCAGTAACAAAACTGAAACTTTTCATATTTTTCTTTGCGGTTTCTTTATGAGTTCAGGAGTTTGTCAGGCAGAAATTTCATTCACCTGTGTGCATTTGTTTCCTTTTATATTTTTGTCATTATCAGCCATAACCAAGTCCACTCCTCTTGTTTTGTAATTCAACTTCTCATACTCATTAATTGTTCATGAGTTATCCAGCCAATCCCTGATTGTAATTTGCACCACGCAACTGGAAACCAGAGGAAGTACTCCTAGTAACTTCTACCATATTTCCAGTTACTTTTACCTTTTTTGAAACTACGACTAGCTAATAATAATAAAAGTATTAGAAATAACCAATTTAGCATAGAATTAATTTAGTGAAAAAAGTTCTTGATGCATGACTGCCTTTCAAATCAATTCCGAACCGTCCAGTCTATATGTGTTGTATTATACCATTATACCACCAAGTTTCTGATGCGATTCTTTGGAAGGTAACATACTTATAAATCTTATGAATTAGGTTCATTAGGAATGCCATGAATAGCAGACAAAGACAATTTGAATAGCTTTTGTTTCAGAAAGCCGTTCGTGAATTGGAGAACAACAAATGGTCCTTTAGTTTAAAAACTGAAAACATTGAATTGGAGATGCAATGAATCAATATATTTCTGTTATATTATGTATTTCCTTTCCTTTTTTCCCCTCCCAAATAATTAATGAGTATGAGAAGTCGTTCAAAGTCCTCCAATTTGGACTGAGCGGAATTTCAATTCCTTGCAAGTAATGCCTAGGACTTGAACTAATTGTGCCTACTAGAAATCCTATCTAGTCCTTATTGTCGGACTTTAAACATTACAAAAAAAGCAATACTATCTTACTGAAGTGCATCATTTAAGTTTGTCATTACATTTCTTTGCAGGTATCTTGGCTTTTTCAGTGATACTGGGAATTCCACCAGTAGCTTGCTGTTTGAGAAAAGTGCAAATTACTTTGATACACCTAAAGCTGCTCTTCGAGCATCCACTCTCCTGCCGAAGGCCAAGATCATCGTTATCCTCATAGATCCAGTTAAACGAGCATATTCATGGTACCAGGTAATGGCATGATATTAATTATTACTCATTATTAATGATTAATGATTAAATTAGTTAATCTTTTATTGATTAAAACTTAATGCTTGGTTTGATGGGAGCTTGCACGCATAGTGTATTGTGTCTTAAAAATTTGTCTCCAAGTTTAGGAATTTATTCAAACAAATTTTTATTTTATGATTAATTTTAAATGAAGTGTTGGATTATGTTTGAAGCCATTTGGTCATTTGCATAAGATATATAAATATATATATTGCATAAAATATTTTACCAGGAAAAGTAAAGTGTTACTCAAAGAAAAAAATTGTTTAAGTCATAATTATACAAAGAAGGACAAATTTAATGGCACTGATTTTCCATTAGTGTTCATCCTATGGATTAATTTATAATGAACTTGATAATACCTGATAAATAATGTTAATTAATTATGTTAATATGTATCATTATGTTATACTAATTTTATTACTTTTTATTAATATTTATCATTACCGTAGTGATCAAACAACAACAAAAACAAGTACAAAACAAACTCACAAAACTATTTTTCACTCGTCAGCATGTTAAGAGCCACAGAGTAACTGCCGCTGTTGAAAACAGTTTCTATGATGTCCTTACCAAGAGTAATTCATCAAACAGCAGAGAGTTTTATGTCCTTGGACAGCGTTGTCTTGTACCTGGACTATATGCCCAGCACCTTGAACGATGGCTGACGTATTTCCCGCCCTCCCAGGTACATACTGCTAATTGCACAAATGTTGTCATTGCAATAAAGGACATTGAAAACTGAGTAAAAACAGCATTAAGAAGACAAACAAAAGCATTTAAGCATTTGACATGAGMAAAATTCCTATGTAAGTTTAAATGAAAATCTCTGTAAGGACTAGAATCCATGTCGATACGACAGTTTGAGATACGTTGAAATGATTAGAGTGCAAGTCACATAAGCATGAAACAATTCTTAACTATGAAGTGCTAAATAAGATTTAGTTATCAACTAACTAAGAATTGAGAACAATGCTACAAAGGAATTTAAATAATTGGCATTGTGTTTATGCTTTGTTGAATTCTTAGTTAGTTGATAACTAAATCTTATTTAGCAATACATATTAAGAATTGTTTCATGCTTATGTGACGTGCACTCTACAATTCCGAGGAAAGAAAACATCATTTCAATGTAAGGACTAGATTATACATGAAGCAGGCTGGCTCCATTGACCAGGATTATTCCTCTGTTTATGTATCAGAAAGAAAAGAAAGGAATCCARCATGTTCAACTGGGCCATGCAGCCCTCTTCAAATAATGAGACTATTAATAATCTGCTTATTTTACAGAGAAACGTACAATAAGAAAATTTAAAAACTTTTCTGTAATTTAAACAGTTCTGTATGGCTATTYATTGGAGTTTGCTATAGATTTTTACAAAGCATCTAATTGTTGGAAGGATGGGCAGTTATCCCTAATTATTACTAATATTATCCTTGGTTTTGTAGATATACATTGTGGATGGTGATAGATTGAAGACTAATCCTGCTGAYGTTATGATTGAAGTGCAGCAGTTCCTTGGTGTTACTGTGTTTGATTATAGCTCCAAATTAATGTAAGAAAATWATTATTTGAATCTACTGTGTAAGATATCTGTAAACAAATACAACAGGAGCAGGTCTAGGAATTTTGTTGGGGAGGGGAGGGAAGGGGTTTTACACAATTCACGACTTTCCATACTCAGGTTCATTGACCATGAATAAAGCATTAAACAGTGGTTAGTGTAAAGGTACACTTTCACAGATCATTTCTTTTATTTTCACTGTTCCTTGACGGCCCTTGGTTCAATGCTTTGTTCATGGTCACTGAACATGAGTATGGAAAGTCGTAAATTCACTAATAACAATAAGGATACTTTACAATAAACTTTTCATTTCACTATTTCTAATTTTTTAGTTATCATGTGGAGGGGGTACATTTAGGGGGACTGGGTTAGGGAGTGTTGCTTTGCACAGTCCATCCCTGGCATATTTTTATAGTGATGTTTGCAATCTAATTACAACATTACAGTAGTTTACTTAATAATAAAGTTATTTGTTGTATCTCCTTTCAGTTATGATMACCGCAAGGGATTCTACTGCTTAATAACGGCCAATGGAAGAAAGAAATGCCTTGGAAAAGGCAAAGGRCGACACTATCCTAAAATAGACCAAAAATCAAAAGATTTCTTAGAAAACTACTACAGCAAACCCAACATACAATTAGCTTCATTACTACATCATATAAACAAACCAATTCCAAACTGGCTCAAGACAAAAACATAATAWTATAAATATTACCAATAATTTCTACAGAAAAACATAGATTTTCCAATTTTCAATTATTGTCCCATCTCTGCCAGGACRAACTACATGAAACCGTGCATTTATTTTTCTCTAAAGAATGCATTTTAATAGGTTTTCTGTCAAAAACTACTCCATTTTTTGCAATTAAAAGGAAAAAGATTTTCAACTTATTTTGTGTAAGATAATGTACATACAGGGATCAAAGAGGAATTTTACAAAAAAATTTAGTGAATTTGTAATACACAAACGAAATTTGTGTAGATATTACTAATAAATAATAATATATTACTGATATTGRCATCATGTGTTAGGCATATTTACAAATTAATGAACATTTTTACTCAAGAGTAAGGTTATTTTTTTGAAAAATCTTCATGGAAATGTTCCTACTAATAAAACATAATTTAAATGATGGCAGTGTGATTCTGTGTCCTTGGTTTCATTGTTGGGCTTTCTGTGGGCACACACAAGCAAGATTCAAAGAATAGCATGATGTGATATTTAAAATTTAACGAGTAGGAGTGTTTTATCGTGAGATATAAACACGAGGCTGAAGGCCGAGTGTTTATATCCACGATAAAACACGAACTACGAGTTTTTTAAATGACTTCTAAAACCCAAACCTAAGAAACTAAAATAAACATGAAATAAATAAAAAAATATCAAAAATGAATAAATTATTGATAAAGATACTAGTATCTCCATCTGAGCATGAGCAGTAATCAACTTGGTTTCCCACATCCAAGCGCCACTATGTTTTACTGTACTGTGACTCTGCAAATAAGTAATTTTAACTCGAGACCTAGTGAAGTTCTATGATGAGAGTCTAAAACTGAGAACATTTCTAGTGTTGGGCATACATCGAGTGTCTGTAAATCAGTTACAACACTGATGTTTTATGCATGAGTGTTATAACTAACTGAACCGGTTAGTTATAAAACTCATGTTTAATTAATCAGTGTTTATAACTTGAGTTATAGATCCTGTCATGTGACCCATAGTTGAATGCTCATTGGAAGAATGTCTAATGAATAATTCATGAGTTTTAGAATCTGGTTTTATAAAATATGCATCTATGTGAGGACCATAGCAAGGGGGTGAGCACTGGAAGTGTAATTATTKTGCACCTCCCCATGAAAGGAAGAATTCCCCCTTTTTAGTGTAATATTCTTCTTTGCGGTTCCCTGCACCATCTTGAAAGGTAGCTGTGCCTTTGCATCGAAGCAAGACGACTGTTGAGTGTGCAATGATAGAAACCTTCACATCTACAGACAATTATTCACAGGTATCTATCATTGCACGCTCAACGGTCATCTCACTTCAATGCAAAGGCACGGCTATCTTTCAAGATGACGCAGAGAACCGTGAATAACTAGAAGGAGACTATTTATGACCATCTTGCAATGTGGGTTCATGAGTGTGCAAAATTTGCGAAGAGTGGAATGGGGCCTAGAATTGGCCAAACAAGTAACGATTTTTGATTGGCTGACCCTGTAGTATTCAGCCATGTCCCWTAAAAACACAGATTATGTTAAACAGCTACACGTATGTGGTCCATGATGTGGAATAAGTGGGGGAGGGGTGGGGACCATACGAAAGCAAAAACCAATACTTTGAAATAGATTTATTTTACAGAAATAAAACGTATTGCACAAAACAATGCATATTGAATCATAGTCCCTAGACAATGGTTTCTTATTTCCACTATCTAGTACCTAAATATCATTAGGATTATAGAAATGATAACCAAAAGGGCTGATACATGCAGATTGGAAACAAAAATAGAGAAATTCAAAATAAGGATGCATTCACGAATGATATCTGTGAATCACTTTGCAAATGAAATGACAGTCACGAATGACCCTTTATCATGATTGCTGCATTTGAATTAGTGTGACTTTTTTGCAACCATTTTTAGAGTTTATTTTACATTATGCTAGGRGAAAAAGAAGGCTAATGAGGGGATCATTTTGGAATATGTTCTATTGCAATAATTACACAGAAGAATTGTAAGTATTTCATATAAATTATACGGTAAAATGGATTTTGTACTAATTTGCGAAAACAAAAACAAACTCCGTCAAATAGTACAAGGAACATGTAACAAAAAATATCTAATAATTTGCACTAATTTAAGAGTACAACTTAGACCCTGTCTTCAAATATCTACCTGGATAATTGTAGATAGTTTTGATATTTGCAAATTGCCTAACATTAATAATAACAAACMAAYAAAAAACAATAATTATACATTAATAATAATTATAAATTTACCTACTCAAAGATAATGACTTACTAACACTAACTAACTCTCTTTCTGGAAACCATCTGTAGTGTTGTTATGGTAATTGAATTCCAGGTAAAGTATCATTCCTTGACAGCTCAAAGAAGGCTTGCAGGATAATATGCTTGTGTTAATTACCAATAAATTAATGTTCCCTATCTTGACGCCATGTGCCTCATTAGTACGCTATTTAATTTTTCAAATTTCTTCAAGTCTTGTTGCTGTTCAGTTCTATATTTTAAACACTGAATTGAACAGAAATGAAAAGAMAAATTAATGAGATTATAATCAATATATTAAACATAGATACATTTTTCTTGTTTTGAATGATTGAATGGAAAACAAATGAATAAATGAATGGATTTATGGATAAACTGCCAGTTTATGAGTTAAAAAAATAGTTTATGAATTAAAAAATGGATGGGTGGTTTCATGAATGGATTTAGGGTTAATGAACAATTGAATGGTAAAATACATTGAATTCAAAGATCTTTGCTACACTATAACTAAGTTGTATAGATCACATCACAAATCAGTTGTCTTTATGTAAGGTGTCAAAACGTCCRCAACAGAGGTCGGTGTACAAGGGGTATTTATTACCATGTTACAATATTCGCACAAATAAACAGTGGTCGTTTTACAAAGGGGTCTTTACATACCATGTTGTCGTCCGTGCCTTTGATAACGACTTTACCATCACAATGTCGATATTTTATAACAAAACGAAACTAAAAAACAAAGAAAGCAAAACCATTTCAAATCATGTTTAATGCATCATTACTAAATGCTAATTTCCTACAAGAATAAGATGTATAAAGCTGATGATATCATGCAAAAAGCACTTCGCAAGAATGGACGAAACTACACGTGTACTTTCGAAGCGAACTTTGAGCTTACCTTATTAGGTTCAGCGAAATATAATTGTTCTACAGCTTTGGCGAACTCATCCCAGGAGTCAAAATAAACCATTTTTATATAATCTTAGTAGTGTGACTAATATTTTTAGYGATTATAGGCGAAAAGGCGTCGAGCGGAAAGAATTTCACTGAAAATCCGCCATCTTGTGCCTTCACAAAACACACAGGGAGCCCGCTCATGAATATGATATCTATGGATATGGATGTTTGTTTTCGTCTTTATTCAGAGTGAAACAAAAAGTCTGTCTTGAAGAGAGAAGTGTTTAAAAGATGCAATATTTGTACTTTTACATTTTAAAGCGATTTTTATATTTTTTTGAGATGATATTATTTACWATGAATGATGGGTAATCTTAGTAGACTCTACACGGCGCATGACACTTTCATATTTACTTTTTCAAACGAAGTTTCTTAATAAGCTTACCATAAAATGGTCTGAAAATTAATAACTACAAGGTTTWATACAAAATGGCTAGCTGCTGGAGTGGCTGTTGGACGGGTTTCACCGACAGTCTACGCAGTTTACGGCGAACTTTATATCTTGCGGGACCAGGGTAAGGAGAACAACAARTGTAAAATCTCTAGCAACGCGAGACTTTTTGTCTGAAATTTGTGTTGTTTYGAACCWTTTCATAGATCTGGTAATCGAGCTCGCTACAACGAAGCAAAAGCTACCGTAGAGGTAAGTCTAGCATTAATTTTTATGATACTTTTAGTTAATAAAAGAAATATTTATTGTAAGAACAAGTAATTTTTTCTGTCCTGTGACGTACATAAGCTTACGTCCACTTTGACAAAGCGACGTTCAAATGAAAGAGTTGACCACAATTTTTTAGATTGGTGCCTATTTTATTGTATTTTAGATTACTTAATATTTGTATTTAGTATAAAATTGAAGAAAAGTGAAGGTTTTTTAGATTTGAAATTTTGCTCGTACGACAATCAGGTGTAATTCACGTGATTTGAATAATGTTGACATCACCAACGCCGTGTATTAATTATAGTGATTACAGCATGGCGGCTTTGCGAGTTTGTTTTATATTACTGCAGCATAATAGCAAAAAAATATGGACTACATCTATTGATTCCTGTATTTAAATAATATATATTTTTAGTAGTATTACCATACTAGTGGACAATTGCAAATCCTTCGTTCTGATTGGCTATGCTACTCGGGGTCTATTTTGAATAGTCCTTGACTAGAGAAAAGCGACAACTTTTTGCGCATTTTTAGCAATAAAACGTTTAGCTATTTATATAATTTTCATTCATTTTTTTGTCCAACTAGTATATCTTGATACTAAAACAATTAGATCTCGAGGGCGAGTGGACTACGAGCTGATAGCCCATGAGGCCATGAGGCCATGAGGCCATGAGGCTATCAGCTCGTAGTCCACTCGCCCTTTAAATCTAATTGTTAAATATAAATACCATATAATTGTATTGTTTAATTATTCAGTTTTAACAGTACAAGTCTGCACTGTATTTAAATTATTGTAGAATTTGCATTTTATATCCTTTAATTATTTTTCCATCCTTGATTTTCTTTTCTTTATTTCTTTATTTTTTGCAGTTTGAAACACTGATTGATGACGTAAGTAACATTTCATTAAAATATTTATTATTGATTGCAAATATCATGGTTTTTATTGTCGTCGTCTATAGTACAAAAGGTTGATATCCCAAAGTTTTTAATCTGATATTAGTCAGAGGAATCATTTATGGCGATAAGAGCTTTCAATGTGACTCTAGGTTGGCTTCTTACATTCTTTGACACAATAGTCTCTTTCATATTACCAGCACCATCGTAGCCGTGTCTTTGCATCCAAGCGAGGCAACCATTGAGCATGCAATGATAGAAACCTTCTTTCACACCTGCAGATATTTATTCACAGGTATCTATCATTGCACACTCAACGATTGTCTCGTTTTGATGTAAAGTTACAGTCAGTTACCTTTCAAGATGGTGCATGGAACCATGAAGGAGACTATTGATGTCACAAACTTGTACCATTTCTCTTGCCAAAGTTTCAGTAATAAATATTGTATTAAATACTAAATTGTACTAGTTGTCCATCTAATGTGATGAAATTGTTTTATTTAGGATGATTGTGAATTTGAAACTGCTCCAAGGTAAAGTACAAAAAAATATTATAATTCTAATAATAATTTTTAGATCATGCCAGGATCTTATAGAGTCATTTCCATCCATCTGTGAAATAGGAATTGTACTATTAGATACTATTACCCCCTATTAGCTCCCAATGGTTTAACTTATGACATGCAACAAACTAATTAATAGGCAAACATGGTTTTGATTTTGCCTTTTGGTAGCCTACTACACCTTAGTAGTTACTATTAAACACTGACTTGTAGTAATTGTTTCACAGACGGATGAAAATGACTCTAAGGTGTTTGAAAATTAGTAGAAATAAGAATAAAATTATTGTAAATGTGACTGTCCACATGAAAAAAATAAATATAGCTCCCTACATTTCATTACAATAAGGTTTCACCTCTTTCAATCTTATTAATAGCTTTACAAGACGTTTACTAACAGAAGAGGAACAGTATTTAGTAAATCAGAGAAGATATGACCAGCTTGTTCACAAACAAAGACAGATTGATCATGAAATAGATGCACAGGTTTGTCATAATGAATAAACAATGTTACCATTCTCGTACCCAGATCCTTCTAAGTTTCCCAACAGAAAATTAAAGACTCTAGTAATTAGTACTTACCTGAAGGGGTATCGAATGGTAAAATCCGAGCCTCGCCAAGCCTGCGAGACCCTTGTTTTATAATCCGAGCGCAACCCTTTGGCTGAATGAGTGCGATATTTCGGCAATTGCGAGCTTCCAAGCCAAAAGAGATTTTAAATCCGAGCTCCATTCTTTTAAACGCTGAGCTTGCGAGCCTTGGGAAATTTTTGGCAAGCCTCGCAATTTCTGAGACTTCATTCTACACCCCTAACAGAAGGCTCTGATTTTAGTATAGTTATCATGTATTAATAGTTAAGTTTCTTCTTCATAGCTTCGGAATGAAGAGGATAAAATACGGCGTGAAGAGGAAGCTCTTTATGAGGCAAAAAGGCAAGCAGCCAGGGCAGCAAAACAAAGCAGAAATTATGAGGTAAAATATATAAGACATCATTTTTTAATTTTGTTCTTTAAGTTGTGACTGCAATTAATCAGTCTTGACAAACATTGCTTCATGATCTACAGGAAAATAAGAAACCTTCATATCAAAACAACACACAAGTAAATTCCAAGCTTTCAGAAAACACAACGCTGTCKTCATGGACATCTGATGATGGTCTTAGCATCGACAGGTAGCATACTTGCACAATCTCTTTCTTCTATCATTTCTTTTTATATTTAAATGCATTTACAGGTATTCATTCTTTCTGTCTTCTTTGAGCTGTTCTTCTTTGAAACTTGATATAACAGCTGTCTTTTGTACAGACTGTTCAATTTTCCATTCATATTCCAGACTGAAGTGTTTACACACTGTACGGGATTCAAGTGGGATTTTCATGGCTTAGTTTATACAATTAACCAAAAAACTCAGWTGGATAATTTTTTTATAATTTCAGTGCAGAGCTTGATGCTGAAGACTTTGACTCTTTTCTTGAGAAAGTAAAAGCAAGATCGTTGAATCCATCAAAACAAACTGGTAAATTCAATGAAAAGTGGAATGGTGTGGAGTTTAATAGCCTTGATGTAAATCTGATTCCCACCCCTCCCCTGTTGGTAATTTTCCACACAGGGGTAGCGAGGGGAAGGGAATAGATATAGTGTTTATACATGTTAATTGCTCTTTTCTTCAGGTGCAACAACAAGTACTACAGCAGTTTCCAATGGTGTGATAGCAAATGGTTGGGATTCATTCACAAATAGCGTTGAGCCCACAAAGGCTGTTGGGAAATCTTCTATCGATGCATTTAAAATTCTTGACCTATCTCCAGTGGAGTCAGACGACAGAGCTACCGATGTAGATCGATAGTCATTGTAAAAAATATCACAAAGCTCTATTTATATATAGTAAGAACTTATAAAATTTTAATGGAAGAAAGATTGCAATATCGAACTTTTTATTGCTACTGGAGAAACTTTAAGTGTAAGTCATTTCAGCCTTGAAGAAATGAATCAATCAATAATGAATTTATAATTATCACTAGTCTTTCTGTGACAGAAGGCAAATGCCTTTATATTACACAGTACTTTATATAAAAACTAAAGGCCTTATAGTCCCTCGTGCATCCAATAATCTTTCGTGCAATTTTCTCATAGAAGAAAATTCACCACCTTTGATTTTTGAACCAATCAAAAGGCAGCTTTCAAATGAGATCATTTAAAACAAAAGAAAAGATCAAAAAGGTTTCAGATGAATGTGGRTCTTTAAGAAAGCCATGAGTCAAATGTTTCTAATTTCTCAAAAAATCTAACAATTCTATTGGCCATAGAACATACTGTTATAAGAGGCACAGTCGTTGAAAGCATTTCCATTATGGCATGCAGCTTGAGTTATACAATGTTTTAACATTAAAATAATTTTAAAATGGTTAATATTTCTTATCAGCTAATGCGTCAAACATTTCGAACATTAGAACTTACAGTTGCCAGCGCCATTTTGAAAGGTCGCGTAGCCAAGCTTTTTCATTAAAGCAAAAATGTAGTTGAGCCTGCAATAATAGATATTTGTGAATAATTGTTTTATAGGTGAGAATAAAAGGTATCTATCATTGAAGGCACAACTCCCGTCTCATTTCTAAAGCTTGGATTACCTTTCAAGATATTACGGACCTTGGAATTGTAAAATATAGCTTAATACTTAAAAGACTGCATTTCCCTCAAATGAAAAAGGTTTTTATCATATAATTATCTATGAAATACCTATATTTCTACATTATGTAAAATTGATATTTTCACTAGTGAAAATAACACATTCGAGGCTTCTCTATAGTGGATGTAAGAAAAAAGAGATTTTCCGACATAATTTGCTTTCATATTTAATTATATGATAAACAGAATACTACATGGTCGCTTTGAGATACGAATTTTATCTTCTCGTGTTGAAAATCTCTTCGCTACGCTCACTCGTGAGAGATCTTTTCAACACTCGAAGATAAAATCCGTATCTCCGCGCGCCCATGTAATATCCTCTATATCTTTAGTTTGTACGTTAACTTATGATAAGTAGAATTAGAAAAATGGGATAAACAAAAAGGTAGAGTGAATGCACTTAATCCGTGGAACTGTASAAATTAAATTAAAAATCAATTTAATTTTAATTTGCGTACCACATGCACGATTAACTACTAGTAAATACAACTAAATAGAACTATTTAGTTAGTACAGTTGCACGAAATAAGTGCGATCACTTTTTAGTGTAATAGCACCTTTATGAAAAATGGTGTGCAGCATTTTATCACAACTTTACATACTCTGGTTTAAGAACAAAACATTCAACCAGATTTATTTGGTGTTCTCGTCATCCATAACGAAGTTGTGTACTGCGACAAGTGTTAAAACTTTTCTAAATTACAGGGGAAGTGTGTTCTCTTGAAGTGACACATTATCATAAATTATCTAAGATTAAAACAAATTACTATTAATGGTCAACTTTATCATTCAATTATTATTGCAATTTTAATTTCAAACATTTTTAGTAAAATTTATTAGAATATAATTTTCTTACATTTTCTTTTTGTTTTGTTTTTGTCTTGAGTATAATAGTTTAGGTATTGCATATAGGAAATACTTGAAAATACAAACAACTGCTGTAAAACTTTTAAAATATATATTCTTTTTTTAGTGTGTGTGTATACACCCTTTTAATAAGTCCCAAGGTATTGTTTTCTCCGCACTTGACGTCAAATTTATTCTTTTGAAATTTTTAAAATACAAAAGGAATTCAAAAGAATAAATTTGACGTCAAGTGCGGAGAACGCAATACCTCGGGACTTATTAAAAGGGTGTATATGCTCCTTTTTTTATATTTTATCATTTTCCATCTCAAATCAGGCAAAATTAAGTTTTTTCCTTCCATTCAGCTTGTCAACAATCCCATAGTAACTGTTTTTCAACATCAATGATTAATGCTTGCTTTGTCAATATATGTTTGATTATTGCTTTCTGTGTACTGACAACAGTTCATCATGTTGGGGTTCCTGTGGTTATAAAGCTTATAATGTTGGGCTGCCTGTGGTATTCCAGATCACATAGGTGGGCTTCCTTAGTTGTAGTTGTGGGCTCAYACTGAAATTTCTCTGAAGTTCATGTGAGAACGATGCTTGGCCAACATTAAATGGACTTCATCGTCTGTCAATCGCAGGTTTTCTATGTCGTCCTTGTTTTGAACTCTTGCAATTCTTGATAAGGAAGAATATTATTTAAATTATTGTAAAAATGTGTGATTTAAGTGATAACACTTATAATTTGCTAAAGTGCTTTTTCACTATATAACCTTAAAAGAGGTTGTCCTCAGATATATGGCATAGAGCCTACATGCCTGTTAGCCTGTGCACRTCCATTCCCACCCCTCCCCCGTACGGGAAAAATCTAGGACAAACGTCCCCACTAAGGGGGGCTGGGGCTGGGAATGGATGTACACAGGCTACATAAGCTTTTGAAGTAAGCATTTAGAATACGTCCAGTAGTAGTAACTGAAAGTCAATGCAACTAAAATCGTAAATAATGCTAACAGACAAAAAAACATTTTGGTTAAAAACAGTATGAACTTTAATAATGACAATATYATTTGAATAATTATTATTACTTATAATACATGTATAATTTAAAACTTTCTAAATATACTTTTCTCTTAAGAATGCCTTGGGCTTCCTGTGGTAACACTTAGCTATGGGCTTCCTGTGGTAACATTTAGCTATGGGCTTCCTGTAGTGCTTCTTTTCTTAACACTTGGTGAACAAATATAGTGCCTAGTGTTGAACACTGCGGTGTGATTGTATGGTGTCCAGGATGAACCAGGGCCGGGTTGTTCAAAGCCCTATTACCGCTAATCCTGATGGGTTAACTCTTAGAAAACATATGGAGTTAACCCAGGATTAGCGCTAATCGACCTTTGAACAACYCGCTCCAGGTACAGAGTACTATTGGGTGAGCAAGGCTTGGACATAACAACTTTTAGAAATGTGAACTATGTCTAACAATACATAATGATAATTTGAAATCAAAACAAAGCTGGCAGATTAGGTGATAATATTTTAAGATAAAGATTTGTGAAGTAGCCACCACTGAAAAAAAAACAGACAAACATTTTATAGTAAATTTGCCAAGTTCGAGAAAAATCTTCAGAAAAAAATTATCAGAGATACAATGCTGTCAAAATATCATCAAATTTAACAAATAAAACATGCATTTTTATGATTGGGCAATTGTATTATAGATTTTGTGGAGCTACATCTTCCCCCTTCTTGGCATATTTACCAAATGTTAGCCTGCTCTTTTCAGTGGTATTTGAAAATGTTTATGAACTTTCTGGTAAAACTGTAAAGTTGATTCAGTACGAATGAGTTCTGTCATTGAATTCACAAAGTGTTATGAAGAAACACAAGCCATAGATGTCGTCACATAAGAAGATCAGTACATATCACACATCTGGAAATGTTGCCATATCGACCAGCAATTGATGAAGTCCACTATGTGGCAATTGTTGTGCTTAAGAAAAACAAGATTGAAAGGAAAAACTATGAATTAGGTTTAGGCCCGAAAAAAACATAAACAAATGTGGTTGAATGGTAAAAATATTTTTATAAGAACATATCAGACAGCACAAATTTTGCCAAAAACCATCGGATACAACAGGCCTAAGATCATCCTAACAACATGTCTACAAGTTACTATCGTAGGGCTATCAAACAACCTCAACAACACTGTTGTAGCCATGTCATAAAGAAGACTTAYGCAGGTTGCATGCAATGCTTGCAGGCAAAAGTTGTGCAGTCTTATTTGTCTTTCACAAAAGTCAAATGTTATACAGTCATGCAAAAACTCAAAATGTGGTAAATGAAAAGTACAGAATAATGAGAAAAWAGCATAGATTGATACTAAGAATGCTTGCAGGACAAGAAAATATGCCTTTAGCATGCTATAAAAATAATAAAGGAAATGAAAAACCAAAGTGTCTACTAGTATGTCATATAAAAATGGAAACCTCTATCAGCAGGAAGCATTTAAAGCAATCATGGTAATTTACAAACTACTAGGCAATAATTAAATTAATAATTACTAAATAATAGTTAGTTATTTTTAGTATCCTGAGTTAGGAAGTTCATGATTAGAAATTATTATAATAGTAGTGCAATTACAAAGAAAAAAAATGAGATTCAAATTAGGCTAAAAGGGTTACATTTATAAATGGTGACGTTAGTAAATTATGTGACTGTAGTATTCCTCAAGTGCAGCTCTTTTACTACAAGAAATGGCTGCACAAGAGGCAAATAAAATAAATTGATGMTTTTAAAGCCTCGACCAAACAAGAAATATCACTGAACACCAACAAATAATTATTGTTTAAAGCTAAAAGATGTTTGTTCTACATGGACCATCAAACATTTTTCATTGAGTTTCAATAGTCATGCATGCTGACCAAGAATTTTTGGTATAATTTTTGGTTTCCCAACAATGAAGGTGTTTGGCAATCAAGCAGTTCTTGTTTGGTCCAGGAAGCAAGTGCAAATTATAATAAAATATTAATAATGACAGTAATAATTGTAATAAATTAATATTGATTTTAAATGAATAATAATTTATAATAGAGTGCAAACACCAAAGCCATGAAAAAAAACACTTTAGTAATTAAAGAGTACTTACAATAATAACAATAAAGTACTGTTAGTGCTAAATGGTGCTATGATGATGTATACATGATGTGTACATGAATTTAGTAACAATAATTATTATATTGTTACTAAATTCATGTACACATCATGCATGTACATATAAATCATCATAGCACCATTTAGCACTAACAGTACTTTATTGTTTAACACAATGTTTCACACTTTTAGTGTTTGCTCTCAAACAGYGATATTACATGATAAAAGATAGCTACATAACAAACCTCACCTTTGCATTTTTTCCTGTTCTAGTTTCTGTTCAGCTTCAAGTTTTTTCTGTTCAAGTACTCGTATTTTTACTTTGAGCTCAGCACAAGCCTCTCTCTGCTCATGAATCTCTTGAGAAAGTTGTGTGTTTCTTTTCTGAAATGACATTTCATAATAAATTACCAATAGTGAAATATTATGTGAATTATAAGTAAATAATTAGCAGTTTTAAAGTCAAAAAATGAAGAGACAACTGTCACAGAACTTGCAAATTACAGCAACTTTTGCTCTTATTTTCTTAAGGTAATTTCATAAACACAATCATGCTTGCCTCATTACGCTTTTCACCAGTAAAAAAAAACAGCAACAAAGTCTACATAAACCTTAATATTTAATAGTACTTATATCAACTCTCTACCTCAAGTTCTTCATTCTGTTTAATCAAATCTTGCATTATGCTCTCCAGTTCTGTTTCATCTACCTCCTTAAGTGTGAGTTAAGGGAAATAATCATATTATAAAGTGTTATAAACAACCTCCAATCAACCATGTTTTAACCATTTAGCCTTGCTCTCTTGTCAACTACAGTGTGCAGCAATTACAGTATTATAATCATTAGAGATGGATACAGTTTCACTATCAGATGATTCAGACCCTGAATCGTTCATGGATTGTTCTGCTTCTTGTTGTTGAAGAATGGTGGCTATTTCGTCCTGTAAATTAGATAGAATCATAATAATTAAAACTTGTCTAGGGGCTCGTACTTCCAATTCTCTGACAAATATGTGTATATTGTACACTTGTCTTGTGTCATTCACATTTTATTAATTTCTTGTTGTGATAGTATCAGAAACCTAATATGGAGA